TCACATTTGTCAAGTGAAAGATGCTAACAGTTTACCATGTTGAATAAGTATAATTTTCTGTATTTATAATTACATCTTAGTATGTTGCCGTGTGTATATATGGCTTATTGTTATTACAATGCTGTTTCATAATTCCAATTATTTATGAAGTCTGATATTGAGTATTGATACATTTTCAATATAAACATTTCAGTCTTGATCCATTGATACAGGCTTATGAAGCAGTATGTAGCTATATTTTATCCCAAAAGAACAAACTTAAATGTGTTTTAGATCCATGTAATAAAGACCTTCTAATTTTAGCATATATCATCATCACAGCATAAATTTAAATTATTGATTAAAACATAAAATTTGTTATGTGCCACATGTTGATGGATAATTCTAATTCTACAGTCTTCAAGACAGTTGGATTCTAACAGTTGCATATTATTTTTCAAACCTTTTCAATTATAGATCTTCAGTGAAGTATTTTCTAAATATCATTTTATGATATTAAATAAAAACAAGCAAATTTGCATTTTTTCTTTTAAAATAAATGGATTCCATTGAGAGAGATGTTTAGGACCCACATTTTCACTAGACCATATTCTAAACAAAACTTCCACAAAACTTCCTCAAAAAATTAAAAAAAAATCCCATTAACCATTAAAAAATCCCACTTTTTATCAAGTGACTACTCAGCAATGCATTTGGGAAGACTGTAAATTCAGTGCAGAATTGGTGGTATCCAGTGTTGCAGACTGCAGCAGCTTCTTAAATGGACAGGCTCTTATCTTACTGAGAGTAGCAACATTGAGAGTGTTCTATATTCTCAATTTTCTCTGTCAATTAGAAAGAGAAATAGAGTGAGTATACTCAAAAGTACTGAACCTTAAGCAAAGAAATTCCAAGTACAGATGTTATCCTTTAATAGTTGAGCCATCATTCATGCATCTGAACTTCCAGTAGCATTACAAGTCTTATCATGTTATATAGTTAATCAGTACAGATTACTACATATATCTTACTCCTTATTTACCATTTCAATCTCTACCATCCATTGTGATGGCAGATAATATTCTAGATAATTAATTTGGCAATCCATAAATGCTTTTGCTAAGTTAAGTTTGTTAACCTTTATACAGTAGTATAAAGGGCAAAATATTCTTTGTCATACATTTTCGGACTCCTTTTTTGGATTTTATAGTACATCATTGTTTTTACATTAAGTAAATTGATGCAAGGATATAGACAGATATCCCTAGATAATTTATATATAAAAACTGCATAAATTCTCTTTAAAAGTGTCCCAAAGTCAGATCCTCCTAAATCTGAGTCAACACAAGAAAGTGGAAAAAAATACTAATTTTGCTGCTCAGAAGCTTAATGTTTTCGTGCTTCAAAGCTCTGTAACTAAAAGTGATAAGAGTCAAGGCTAAAATTGTTTACCACAGCTGGTTCTTGAGAGCCTTATCGGTACTGGGAGAAGGAAAAAAATGAAACCTCTCTCTTGTGAAGATTAAAGCTACAGCAGCAGTAATTTACAATTTGGAACATGGAAGAATCTACAGAAGAGGAAGTGTCAGCTTCTGCCTTGCTGTTGCTTCAGCTGTCATGAAACGGGGAGGGAGGGTT